ATACTTCACCTAATTTAACACTTATGATAACCTTATATAGTTGGTACTGTTATCAACTCTAATCTGATATTTGAGCTCGCTAAGATGTAAAGAGGCTGAGTAATTGCCCAAGGTTGAAGAGTTAAAACTATTATATTTGCTTTGGCTCATTCCAGTGCCCATACTTTTATTCACCTAATTGCTCTAATTTACCTCTGCTCTAACTGTGCATGAAATGAGGGGAGAATAAAGACTATATTAGAACATAAATTAATAAGATTGAGTGATTAACTGTAGTGTTAAGGGATAGAGATTTACTGCAGAGTTTCTGATTTAGGGAACTAAATGGGTAAGGACAATGTTTAACCCAACAGAGAATTCTAGATCAAGAATATGTTTTAGGAAGGATGAAATGGATGCATTGAGTTAGAAGAATACAAAATAATCTTACATATGTATTCCTCTAACAAAGACCCTAAAAGTTCATGATAGAGAATCTAATAGAAACAAAAGAAGAAATAGACCAAAACCTCAGTTATAATTGTAGATTTTGATTCTCTTTCTCAGACAACCATGAAACAATTATAGAGAAAAATGATATAAAAGAGATGAATAACGACAACAATGAAATCAACCAATGTAATCTCAAAGGTATTAATAGACCTTTTACCCTATAACAACAGAATATGTGTTATTTTCAGTTGTACATGAAAACAGTCACCAAGACAGACCATATAAAATATTAATTTATACAAAGATTAAAAGTATAAAAAGTTTAGGTTATGGTCACAATAAAATTATACTGGAAATTGGTAACAAAAACATATCCTAGATATTTCCCAAATCAGACAGACATTACCAAAAAAAAAAAAAAGAAAATGTAAGACAATATTACTGATGAACATAGATGCAAAAATTCTGAGCAAAACATTAACAATTTTATTCTAGCAATATATATAAATTATAATGAGCAACTAAAGTTTATCCTAGGTATGCATATGGGTTCAACTTTTGGAAATCAATAAATGTAATTATTCAAATTCAACAGACTCAAAGGGAAAATTATATTATTATCACAACACTTACAGAAAAAAAAATTTTTCAAAAGTCAACCTTCATTTATTATTATTATTTTTGATCTCTGTAGTGTAGAGATAGAAGAAAATATCCTTTCTTGACAAAGGAAATCTGTAAAGGGCCTAAAGTTGATATCATAGAAAACGGTGAATGTTTTCCTCCTAAGACTGGGAACAACAGAGGCAAGTCCATTGTCACCCTTTCTATTCAACATTTTAATTCAGGTTCTACTCCAGAGAAATAGAGTGAAACAAAAAAAGAAAAAGAAAAGTCTTCAAAATATGAACAGAAGACATAATAACAATGTATGTACTTTTAAACTGCTTGATCATTAAATCAGAACAGAGAATGTACTCAAAAAGAAACTAGAAAAAATAGTGTAGCAGTGTTGCAAGAATTCATATTAATGTAAACACATCAAGTGCATTTCTAAAAACTAGCAATAAATACATAAAATGAAATTTCACTGAAATTTTAATTTAAAATGAAATCTATATGGTACCATTTTATGTGCAAAATCATTAAATTTGCAACAACTGGCAATAGAATTAATAACATAGGTCTACAGAACAAAGAAATAAGTTCTACCAAAAAGAGAACAGTGGGTATGAGGTCAACATCGAGTTTTTCGAATATGAAAATAACCCCCAGAGACAAGCAGAACGTAAGTAAGTCGATGTTACCTCTTAAATATAGTTTCCTTCAAGGAAAAAAAAAAAAACTCTAAGAAAGGTATAAGGGAAGCAAACAGTGACAGAGGACAGGGAAGCTTGATGAGTTCACATATCCTGGATAAAGGAGGACAGTGGGCATCTGCAGAGCAGCAAAAAAGGAAGAAGGAAGAGAGACCAAGGAAAGAAGAAAGAAGAGAAAGAAAGGAGAAAATGAGAAAGAGAAATATGAAGGTACAGAAAGAGAAAGAAGAAGAAGAGGGAGGGAGGGAAGGAAGGAAGGAAGGAAGGAAGGAAGGAAGGAAGGAAGGAAGGAAGGAAGGGAGGGAGGGAGGGAGGGAGGGAGGGACAGAGGGAGGGAGAGAGGAAGGAAGGGGAGGTCTCAATTCTTACCTCACACTGAATACAGAAATTAATTTGAAGTAGATCACACACAAATTGTAAAACTTCTGTAAAAACGTGCTTAAGAAAATCCTTATGATCCTGGGTCAGGCAAAGTTTTCTTAATGGAATGCAAAAGGGCATGAATCATAAAAGATAAAAATGATACACTGAAATCAATAAAATCTAAAATTTCTGCTTTTCCAAAGGCCATCTTCTTACCCAAGAATAAAAACATATGCCCTTACAAAAGTGCTATGCCCAGATATGACAGAAAAATTATTCATAGTCACCAAAATGAGTTATAACTCAAATGTCCATCTCCTTGTAAATGGATAAACCATGGTGCAGTGTACAATGGACTTTTCTTTTTTCAGTAATAAATAGTGATGAACTACCAAGAGTTATGGCAACATGGCTGAATCTCCAAAGCATTATTCTGAAGGAAAAAAAAAATGGAAACACAAGACGCTACATCTTCTGATATAATCTGTTGATAAAAAAAAAATTCTGGAAAAGGTAGAACCACAGGGAGAAACAACAAGTCAGTGGTTGGCAGGGACGGAAGGAAGTGAGTTGACTACCAAAAAAGCATGAGGGAAACCTTGGGGATGATGGAAGTATTCTATAATCTGAGTTTGGGCAAAGGTTACACATGTTAGTGTTTGTCAAAACCACCAAACTGGATACCAAAAGAGGGTGAGTTTCAGTGTATGAATTCTACTTCAATAAAACTCACTCTAAAAATAAGAATTTGAGAACAAGGCCCTTTTTTCCATCCCTAGCACTATGAAATTTTTTTTTTTTTAAAAAGAAGGAAATCCAACAAAATGTGGTGTGATAGAAGTCAAGTAAAGAAACTGTTTCAGCAAACAGGATGTAACCAACTGTCATATGCTGCTGAGGTGTTGAACAGCAAAGACAAAAAATGTGACCCTGGGGTTTCATAGTAGAAGGGTGGCCAGGCCCTTAACAAGCAGTCTGAGTAGGGCAGTGAGCGAGAAGCCCAGCTGGAGCAGACTGAGAAGAAAATGCTTCCATAAAGACACAGAAAGAAAACGCAGTCTTTAGAGGAGAAGGTGAGCTGGTGAAAAGTTTTGATTGCTTGTTTTTTTTTTAATATAGGAGATATTAGAGCATATGTGCACGCTCAAGCAAAAAAAAAAAGTCATCAGGAAAAAACAAAATGATGCAAATGAAAGGAAGTAAATAACAAACCCTGATAAATTGCAATAACCAGAGGCCATGCCCACACAAAAGATGGACTTGTCTTCAGGAACACTCTATTTATGGTGGAAAAAATATTTACACTTGAATTTGACTATCCACAATTATGTAATTGTAACTACTAACTGATGAACATGTGTCTGGTGATCAACTAGAACATATACCATCTGAAGAAAGCAGAAGGAATAGATGCTTTTCAGACACCTGACTTGAGCAGATCGGAATCCTCTGCTTGGTTAAGGCATTGAGCACTATGACTTCTGTCAAGAGAAGTAGAAAGTGAAATGAATCTGGATACACATTTTTTTTTCCCATGATGGGAAACAGGCAAATCTATCTACCTACGGAGACACAGTTTTTCTTCACATTCAATTCATGCAGAAGTTTGCCATGGGTTGGGAGGTTCTGAGTAAGTTCTACAACTGCAGTCTTTGAAAAGAGCTGACTCTCCTCAGTCACCTAGGAAATAGAGAGAGAGAAAACAGGGTCAAGTTCAGGGTTTGTTATCTAATATTTCCTTTCATTTGCATCATTTTATTTTTTTCTAATAACATTTTTTTTGGGGGGGGTACTTAGGCATATGCTCTAATATCTCCTACTCAGCACTTGGCTAGGAGGGGAGTGACACAAATATAATCTCAGAGTGGAGGCGGGGTTAGAAGGCATTGGTAGGATGCTATCAATACCACAGAATATGGAATTCTGTCACACATTGCCCACAAGAAAACCTGAACCTAAATGTCATTTTTCTCTTATTTGTTTCTTCCTTTACCTCTAAGCTCCTCACAAAAGAGTAACGTCTATGAGGGACCAGGGCTTGGCTATGAACATACCACAGTTTACACATATGACCTTTGATTATGTCAGCCCTCAGTGTTCTATGAAGGAATTAGTTCAAATCACTGAGAAAATAAGAAATTAAAAAGGACCAGATCTACTACCTCTAATAGTCTGAGCGTCTGAGCTCATCTAAATATTGTTGCGAAACGGTTCCCACAGAATCTATGAATAAGTCAGCAATTAAAGGACTTAATATGGATTAATTCCAAAAAGAAAAAGCAGTCCTTGCTGTTCAAATGGCACAAGGAAAAAACCAGACAACCACTAGAATAAAGAGATAATAATAATTTTATTTTCTTTTATCTCTTTTCAATTTTTTTTTCCAAAACATGTCTTCCTATCTGATTTGTTCATTCCAAAACTGTACATTTTCCGAGTTACAAAATGGTTCCTTTTATAACAGAATGTATATAATTATTCAGAAGATATTCAGCTTTACAAATTTAGTCCCCTTATGTTTCTCTGATCTTCTGATTTCTGGTGTGAGACACTGAAGTATCAGTGTTCTTCTTCAAGAGCCGATTGTTAGCAATTTCGAGTTTTAGGCCTCTGTGGTGCCTACCCTCAGGTACACACACAATTACATTTCACCTCCTCTTATCACTGTAGTTCACTTTTTTCCTTCCACTGTGACCTTATATCCTTCTTCAATATAACATCTTTTGTATCTTTTGTACTCCTAACATTTTTATGATTCAACACAATGCTGGTTTATTCTGTCCGGCCTTTTTTGCTCCAAGCTCTGTGTGCCTGCATTTTTGTAATAGATGGTAAATGTGGAGTTCTTTTCATTAAAAGTAATCTTTTTTTTTTTTTTTTTCAAAGCACAGTCTTTGAAAGCTGCTGACTCGTTATGCATGTTCAAGGAAGAACTGCACTTCTAAAGTTGCGGCATGCTGCTCCAGTGGAGGCCCCTGCGTTTCTGCAGTATAAGGTACACAAAACAGGAGGGCACATTTCTGAGTTGCTGGAGAAAAAATGAAATTATAGCAGGTGTGACAAGTGACATAGATGGAAAAGGGTGCACAATCTAGCAAACCTGCACAAAAACAAAGCTAATATGAAATGATCCAACACTGCACAATACAGTGTCAGTGTCATCACTTCTCCATAAGATAGGCTTTGAGAAGCAGAGCCAGGCCTTCATCTGCCAAGTAGGAACATGGAAATATGGGAAGCACGAATTGAAGAAACCATATCTGATTCAATTTAGGATCCAGAGATGATAAGTACAATTACTACAATTTTGAGAAACGCAAGTATGGTCACAGAAGATGTTCTTTGAAACACCATGGCTGTAAATTCATTGCAGTTGGAAGATGAAAGTACACTTTCTTAGGGATGGAAGGATGGATTTCCTAACCTCCACCCTATCCACTCAGAACTCTGTCCTATTTTTCCTGCAGTATCTCTTCGCCATTTTCCATTCCTTCCATCTTTGTTATAATCCACCACATTAATCACTGGCTTTAGAAAACCGAGCAAACCTCTGGTTTCACCATGTACAAGGAATGTGGAAAATCTCCTTTGCTGAGTCCATAAGGCACTTCACTTAGGAAAGTCCATCTTGCAGCCAAACCTCTCACGTTAGTTCTACACTCTTTTCTACTGTAGCTCTTCAACTTTTATGAACCATTTGGTTAAAGGAGAGCCTGGATGGTTGGTAGAGTTCCACCTAAGAGCCCTGTCTACACTTGCTGTCAGAAGGGTTGGCTGCTAGTTCTCATTTGACGACTTACTTACAGAACTTCCTGGGGCATATCACTTAGTCTCTCTGGTCTTATTTTTTTCCCAGAAGTGAAATGGAGGGGATGTGCTAAATTATTTCTAAGTTCCCTTCCAACTCCAGCATTTAATTATTTCATTCAGATGGTGTTGAATGTTCTCTAGAGTTTTCCATTCATCAGAATTTTCAGAATGAATGACTTGTTGATGAAAGCTATTTGGGTATTTTGGCCTTCTGTGTGCTCAGCATAACATTAGTCTACTTTTCTCAAAAGTCACATAAATCCTTGAAAAAGAGTTAACTATTAAAGAGGCCCTGACAACAGTTGGTTAGCTCAATAAAAGATAAAAGGCAAGAGTTCTGATTAAGAAGGACCTCTCACTTCCATAGGAAAACTGGCAAATTCTAATCCCTTGCACTGAGCCAATGTCAGATGTTTTTTAAATACTCTGAAGACCACAACCCATAGTCCCCACAAAACACACATGGATTTCATGGCAAGAATCGTCAAGCCGGAATGATGATATGATCCAAGAATTGATTAACCATGAGCATGAGGTTTAACACTTGGAGAAATGTCATCAACACTATAGAGAGAAAGTGAATCATCTATGTGCCTAGGCAAAGTTTCAAAAAAGAATCTAAAGTGAAGAACAGATGGTGAGATGACAAGCCAAAGATATCTGACATTTCTCCAACATCTCCAAGACAGCGGCTTTTATAATGTTGTGAGTGACAAGACAAACTATTAAGTATTTATTGAGAATCATTTACATGTTGAGCATGGTGGAAAACACTGGACAATGAATGGAAGAAGGGAATACAGGAAGAAAAAGAAAGAGAGGGGGGAGAGAGAAAGAGAGAGAGAAGAAAGAAAGAAACAAAAAGAAAACATGAAGATATAAAGAATGTGTAGGAATAAACTAAAATCCAGATAATTACATAAAGATGCTATAAGAAATTAACTATCTGCTGTAAATGAACCCTGGTGTCAAGAGAAATTATACCACAATGTACTGCGCAAACAATTGAGATTACAAAATTGATCCCCCAATTTTTGAGAACATATGGAAAAAAGAAGAAGTACCAGGATACTAAAGATAAGAAAATAATTCTTGAATTTCAAAAAGGAAATAAAGATGGCATCCAGATTTTAATCACCAACATTAAATAAAGATATCTTAAATATTAGAACAAACTGTTAGATGCTTTGTGATCACTTAGGACAGAGGTATTAAGGCTTCAGTAAGAATGAAACTCTATAAACTCTAAGTCAGAAATTCACCTAAGTAAAAATTCACTTTGTGAAAACTGATGTTTTCTGATTTTCCCCAATCGGCGTATTGGAATTTTGATTGTAATAGCTAAGTAATGTTACTAGCAAAAAAAAAAAGTGGGGGCTGTGTTAAACATCACGCTCTCAGGAAGAAATTGGTATACATTTTCTGCCATATTTACATGAAAGAATAAAAGGAATACAGAATGTATGTAGGACCAGTCTGAAGTTCCAGATTTCTCCTGACCGGACCCAGTGCCCCAAGAGCATATTCTGGGGAGCTGCATCAGTGTATCTCCTTGGACATATCCCAGCGTATCTCACTACTTCTTAGTTTGAGATCCCTGAGTACTTGGTTTTAAGACTTTTCACATATGCTTCTCTTCCCTTAGAATGGCATCTTTATCAGAGTGGATTTCTGTCAAGGGTTTTCTTATCTACAATATGCTCTGCAAAATGCTGGTTGCTAGCTTCACCAGATAATGAAAATCCCTGTCAGGGTGAGGCACTTTGTTTCTCTATCTAACCTGAATGCAGAATCCCTGTCCTTGCCATCCTCTGGGTTATTCTTGCCATTATCTGCTGTCTTAGTGTTCTTGGAAATGGGGAAGGTGGCTTTATAGTCTTTTTGGCAGAAGAAAATTATTTCATGTTTGGAGTTAGGGCTGAAAAGTGTTTCCCCATTACACAAAATTGATACCATTCCTGCATCATTCTATTAAATATTGCTTTGATAATGTGTCTTATCATCATCAAAAGATTCAAAATGAGAAGGGTAACCATGATGTGAGATGATGAGCTCAAGGTTCAAAATTATCTCTACTTTTGGGGAAATGGGTTAATCAAAGATATGGGTTTTTAAGTAATGTGCGAAAACATGTTACATTTTAGTTTGATTAAACTAATGTATGAGTAATATGTAGATTATCTAGTTCAGCAAAAGTTTGAGAGATAAAGATATAAAGATTTCAACTGGTCTCAAGCTCAAGATGAGAGTACAATTAACTACCAAATATTGAATGAAAACTTAATTCCCATTAATGCAAGTAAATTGTTCATCTGAGGAATGATAGTATTTTCTTATCACTCTATATTATTAAAAGCTCATTTGATGCATCACATTTCATTATTGTAGTATATTTCACTTTGCATGCTACATTTCATGGAAAGCAATGTTGATTTGGATCTCCTGATTATTACTTGAACTGTCCTTAGTTAGAGTTTGGATGACAATATGTTGGAGAATTTAGGGAAGGAGAATTATATGTATCAGTTACAAATTCCTGAAGCTTCTCCCAATTTTTGGTATCATTTACATCAATCAGTGTCCTTCCTGAAGTGAACTTAATTTTCATATGTGGAAAATCTCTTCTTTGGATCTCTGTATATTCATACCCATTTTTCAGGGTTATGAAAAGAAATTATGCTTTTTCCAAATTCATTACCCATTTCAAAAGAATATAGATTTGTTGTTCTGTGCAATAAAAGTCTTTCCACCTCATGAATCAGTCAATCATATATCCTTGTCATGTGTAAATGACAAGTCTGTTGGCTTGTAAATTAGAGTTTAAATGGATCCTGCAGGATTTATTTGTATATTTTATAACATAAGCAGTTCTGTGAAAGTTATCAATTAAGCTATAAGAAGAGCCTTTATATTAGCAATTGAGTGTCACCTGTATATTTAAAGAGAAAAATCAAGATTACTAAGGCTAACAATCACCACCTAAAGACGTTAAAAAACAACAACAACAACAACAAAAACCTCTGTGTAGCCTGAATAAGAGTGAAGGAATATATAGCTACATCCATATATTTGAAGTATTGCCAGGAAGAAGGGAAGTAGTTCCAGAGGTATATCTGGGATCAATGAAGGCAAACAATTTGCATGTAGAATTTGAAAAGGAATGACTAACAATAAGTTTTACCCAAATATATAATGGGTAGTCTTCTGAAGTCAGTATTACCCAACACAGGCCTAATCATTTTTCTCTATTTTCTTCCTTGAACCTTACTGATAATTAATTTACTGTTCTTCTTTAAATAGTTGATTAAAAAACTAATTTTCTACCTGTATCCTTTTCTGATATATAATTTCAAGACTATACATTTTCCTCTAAGAATGGCTTTAACTGCATATTATATTTTGATATACCATACTACACGTTTGAAATCTTTCAAAAATTGTGAAAACATACACTATGCCTATTTTTATGCAATTTTTATAAATGTTACACATGGATTTGAACAGAATATATGTTCTGCAGTTGTTGGATGCAATGTTTCACGTTATTAACATAAATGTGAGCACTTTTGTTCACATCTTCTGTGATTGTTTTTATCAGCCTGCTCTCTCAGTTCCTTGAAATATCTGCCATAATCCTCAATAATTAATGTAGATTATATATTTAATTATTTTTAGGAAGCTAAGCAAGGACCTTGGATTGTTTTTTTGTTGTTGTTTTGAAATGTGATATGAAAATAAAGGAGATCTACAAATGATTTTAAGGGATCACATAAGCTTTTGTGTGATGAATAGTTGAATTTGAGAGCTTAACCTCAGTATATATTTTCTTGCATACAGCAAATTAATTTCAGTGAGTTTCAATTTCATTAGTTTCAGTGAGCTGGGCTACAAGTTGATGAAAAAGTAATCTAGACTCCTTTTTAATTTAATAATTTAATTTAATTTAATTTTGAGACTCTTCTCACTATGTTGACCAGGCTGGTCTCAAATTCCTAGCCTTAAGTGATCCTCTTGATTCTGTCCCTTGAGTAGCTGGGACCACTTACACAGACCTCTGTGCTTGCCTAACAGATATCTATAAAGCCTTCTCCAAGCTTCCTCCAGAGCCTCACATATGAGCATTTGTTAAATGGTCCCAGTGATTTCCTCCCTTCCTCATTCAAGTTGATAGGTTGCTGTATTGAG